CAAATTCTCAAATTTTATCGTGGCATTTCATTTTTTCTTTTCTTTTACGAAAGATTAGGATTATCATGATTGCAAATCTGCTGTCAGTCACTGGTCAGCATTTCAGAACGTTTTTAATTAACTGGCAAATTAAATTAAGTGGCTCTTTTCTTCCTTAATCAGAAAATCAAGAGAGGATTAGTTGTTTAACGTAACCCATAACGATATGTCCATTTTGTTTGCACATCACCTGTGTGTTGCATGCAGCCAGGGGATTAACAATTTTGATCTAACGAAAAGTAAGCTTGAATGCTWAATATCGATCCAAAAGGCAGTCGACAAAAAACATGAATTTTTCTGTGAACCTTTCGAGCCGTATAACTGGACGGTACCAGCGCCCTCAAAGTGTCCAGGAATAGTCACCAAAACCATTCTAACGGTCTTGATTGCTGTGGTTGGTATTGTGGGTAATGGATTGGTCATTTGTTTCACTCGTTCAGATTTRAAACAGCGTAAATCTCCCGACARACTTCTACTACTTCACAAGTCGATYGTCAATTTACTTGGATGCTGCGTAAGTCTCCCTATTTTCTACTTCGATAGTAGTGAAATTTTAAAAAGTTTRGATATKAATGTYAATTTAGCCTCATCCATTTGYTTATTGGGARTCTTTGCTCAGTTTTTCTGCCTTAGAAGTGGTCACTTTATGTTAGCCGTCTTGTGCTTTGAACGTTTTGAATTGATCACAAAAGGTCCTCAAKTGAAATGGCTGACTTACGARAGAACGAGGCGAATAATCTTTGCTATTTACGGTCTAGTTTTTGTGGTAATGACGGCAGTCATGAGTGGTTTTATTGTGCACTTGACTGCAGGCGACCAACAAAATTYACTTTGCCTTTTTGACGGGTCGATTGATCCCAGTCAACAAACATTCGGTATGTTATTTTCAATAACTGGTCTTATTGCTGAATCGGTTATCTCTCTGACTGTAGTGATATTTATATGTGCTACAACACTTACACCGGTGTAAAAAAACAGACAAATATATGTTAAGGAACACATCGAGTCTGTTCGGGCTACGCTCGGCGATCAAAGTACAATCAAAGAGGTCCGTCTTGTACGAAATGCCAGGGCGTTTAATATGGCTTACATTATCGTGTGGGTTCCCTTTGGAATAGCTCGAGCTGCGAAAAGTATTTACCCAGATTCTGTTGATGTTGAGTGTTTTTACACGGTGACTTATATTCTGTCTTATTCTGTTTTCTCGTCTATTCCCGTACTTTACATTATCATGGATAAGCGTATAAAAGTACCTTTCTTACGATCTAATGATGTCATTGGACAAGGAAATAGCCCGGAAACAGCTCAGCAGAACTAAACGCTAAACTTAAGAAAAACAACTCCAATCACATCCTAAAAGGTCGCATAGATTATGAAACTTGTCCTTAAATGTCATAGCAATGTATACTCGCCGTCGTAAATGTAGATTTTAAAACTAAACCAGGAAAAATTTGTGAAGTCCTCCACCTGTAGTTTTGAGGATCAATTCTATGAAAGTCTTCCGATTATTGAACGATAAAGTTTACAATGGATCCAAACTGACGMAAAACTTCAATCAAAATGACAAAGTTTATATACTGAATGTCTATAATTCAACAACAAATTTTCATCCGCTGATTGGTGGAGAGACTGCATTCTSGAGCGACTATTTATTTATTTGTTTGTTTTCGCGTGATTGAACATCTAGTTTCCACTGGCAACTATTACGCATGATACCATCTACTCGACTATTCTTTTGTGTAAATATATTGCGGCCATGTTKGAGGAATGAACAATAGATACTGACATCCTTCAAGATGGCCGCTGTGACGTAACGCATACCGAGAATGATGTTGTATTTTGTGATCATAATGGAGGTCTGGGAACGCACTGYTTTTTCTTTGCTCGCGCAAAAACAGTTTGATTTCAGTTTAAATGCGGTTTTTGTAACGTCTTTGTGTTCCCTGTGGATGACCGCTTAAATCGAAAACTTGGAATAAATTGTTAAAATTATTCATGGTTGATTCACCAAACTACTTTTGAACTAAGTTTTCACTGGTTCACGCGCGCGAGTTGGCTCAGTTTCCAAATATGGAATTCATTAATCCAATTATGGTCAACGAACGAGCGCAGGTAAAAATACAACAATTCGTATGTGCCTTTCTCGATATGTTAATAAAACGAAGAATAGGCAGTGTTTAGCGACGCCATTTTGTGCAGTAAAGGAAGATTGTAGCTCTAGTCGTACATTTTTATGTCCGCTAAAAAAGTCGAAAGTCTTCCTAAGCAGGTTTTGCTTTTTCTAAGCGAACATGGAAGTATTTGTGCTGTTTCTAAAAGAAAATGTAAAAACAGCTGTCAAGGAGATATTTTAGGGGCCATGAAAAGTGCGAAGACTACAACTACCATCATACTTTGCTGCACAAAATGGCGTCGCTAAACATTGCCTATTGTACTAACAGTACCAATATAGGTGAATGGTATATACTACTATAGTATCCGAGCCAAAGTCAGATAAATTCATTGCCTATTGTGCAGTACCAATATAGGTGAATGGTATATACTAGTAGTATCCGAGCCAAAGTCAGATAAATTCATTGCCTATTCGTAAGTCTTTCATCACGGCAGTGATTAAGCACGATTTCTCTTTGTTTTGCCTTTATTCTTGAATATGAACAAATAGTGTTTCCCTAGCGAGTACTTTCAAAGTGATGTAAGCACACGAGTCTTGATAGTTGGACTGGATCACGGCATAAGGGACACTCTTGCTGAAAAACATAGAGAAATCGAAAATGAGAGTGCCTGATTGCAGAAAGTGTGGATTGACAGCATTATCAAGCAAAGACATCCCATATTCCCTTTTGGTCTTAAGGCCGGGGAAAACTTCTGTTTCAGCAATTGTTCAACTTYGTTGAAAGTCAATGTTGGACGGACTTGCGCAGGGCTTTCGACATGTTTGAAACATGATGAATCAATGTTTTAACAATGAATCAATGTTTTAAAAACGATCGTTTTAAAAGCGTTTACACTTTGTTTCAACATTTCTTTTGTTCTCGAAAATGTTAAATGATGTTGAATCCATATGCGCCGTGATTTCAAAAATGATGTACAATCGCCTGCGCTGTATTCGCTCAAGTTGAAAGTCCCGCGCAAACGCGTCGTTCAGCATTGTCCTACAGTGCTCTAATAAGCTCATAACGCACCCTCCATTCAACATCGTTCAGCACTGTTCTACAGTGCTCTAATAAGCTCATATCGCACCCTTCATTCAACATCGTTCAGCACTGTTCTACAGTGCTCTAATAAGCTCATATCGCACCCTTCATTCAACATCGTTCAGCACTGTTCTACAGCGCTCTAATAAAGTCATAAAAAATAGAGTTGCTGTACTTAGACAACTATGAAAATGCAGGTTTTGAGCGGTGTTGTATTACTGCTAAAAACCTAGTATATGTAATTAGGTTTCATATTCATGTGAGGGTTTATTGGATGCATTTAACAGTAGTTTTACCTTTGTACTGCACCATTCTGTAATGCAGTACCAATCAAATAGATGACCACAAGGCGTGGCTGTGGCATGACGTAARGGCTCTAAACACAGCGAACATTTCATCTGCTTGCTTGCACAAGACACGTCACTTTCTTCATCTTTATCATTATTAACCGCATAAGAATTGAAACTTGAAGAAAGTGTGGAAGATTTCGATTTCTGAAAAGCAAAAATAACCATTTAATTAATAAACAAAATGAATTACACTTAAATGGAGTAATTCTGACCGCTAAAACGTTTTAGCGCTTTTCTCACTACAACGGATCCAAATCATTCTAGTATATTCAAATTATATAATATTAAAAGTTTATTCAAGCTTAATCTGCCTTAGGCTCCTTTGCAGCCTCCCCTTTTGTTGTGCTTCCTGTCCCTCCCAGGAACCCTGACAAAAAGGTAGTCTGTGAAGGAAACTAAATATGCTCCTATAATTTATATTCTATATTGTAAGTAAGCGGCTAGAATTTCTTCAATTAACTGTATTCAATTTATAAAGATTTGTATTTTATTATCATGTCGTTAAGTATAGTTTACAACACAAATTAACATGAATTACAGTGAGATAAATGACGAAAAATGACAATTAAGGTAACTGCTGAATTTAGTCGCTATTAAGCATGCGCAATTTACTGCAACACAGAACATTTTGCATAATTATCCATCCCACATGGAAAGCAAGCCATCTGTTGCATAAGAGAGTTCTGTTATCTGTCTTTGATTGCTTCAAAACCTAGTGAAGGTCTATGATGCGATACTAAAACTGAGACCTTTGCTAGTGTTGGGTTGTCTCAATGGTGACGACCGTGTTGTAAATCTGATACAACACTAGTGTTGTATCAGATTTACAAGGTCAATCACATGATTAAATGGACAGCCCTTATTGGAGTAATAGCTCATGCATTATTAATAAGTTTTATAAGTGAAGTTATTGTCAATACCTTGTAAGCAGTGAATAAGAGAGTTAGAATTAGCTGTAAAGCTGAGATGTAACCAAGTAACTTGTATGTTGGTCTAGAACTAATGTCTTTTAGGCCACTTCTAACAAGAACCTTGGATAAAAACAAATAAGTGTTGTAAATAAAAGAATAATTAAACTGAATCAGATTTACAAAATGTCAAAAAATGATAATTCTAAACCAAAGTGCTTTTAATTGAAATTTATGACTGTACATATCTTGTATAGCAACTCTGAAACCACCAAAAAACATCTTTTCATTTCAATGGCAACAGAACCAACAGTGCACTGATTTCAGTCTTGCAAAACACAATCTTCAGTATTCAGTCCCTTCTTAAACAAATCCTTCTGAAATTACTGTGCTGTCTCTAAATCATATTCATGCACTCAGTGGCGGATCCAGGGGGGTTCCATGTGTTCCTAGGAACCCCCCTCAAGCATAGAAAAAATAAAAAATAAAATAAATGATAAATGAAATAAAATGAAAACGCATCGTACAATGAATTTTTATTCAATACATTCACACTACATTTGCTACAGTTCGAGAGGCACAGTAAAAAAGTTCGTTTTAGGAAAATGCGAAAACAAAGTAGAACCCCCCTTTAAAAAATCCTGGATCCGGCACTGGCACTGGTCAATAATCAGAGTGTACTTACATAGTTGATAGATGTCATTCTTTTTGAGATGTGATAAAACAACCCATTTAAATAAAACACTGTTAAATGAGCTCTGTGAAAGACTAGAAAACAAAAATCTTTGTTGATAATATAAGAAAAGTTGATAATATATGGAAAAGTTAATAAATGAAATGTTGGCCACTTCTTTGCAACCTTGTTTAACAAAGAAAGAAAAAACATTGACACAAGTGAAGTGAAGCGAAGCTTTGCTCAATGTACAATGTAAGTTACATTTGTTAAACAGCAATATGCAGAAATACATGTAATGATTGACAAAAATTTCAAGTAATATAAAATATCAGAAATTATTGGATATCATCGCTGATATTTTTTGAAGTTGCCCAGCACTAAGTACTTTCTGAAAAAAAAATTGGCAATGATATCCCATAGTTTCTGATACATTTTAAAATATATACTTAAAAAATGAGTTGACCATAATCTGCATACAGTATCTTAGATAGAGYGGATTTCRTATGATTGGGAAACGGACGGTACTRTACTGTGACTGTAAAACATTTGATTAATATCTAAATATTCTAAAATTAATAGAAGTAAATTAATATTACTCACAAATGACTGACTGTTGTAGTACTGGTAAAATTTCTACAAGTATTGACCTTGATCTCTCAGTTAACCCTTTAAATTAATAATAATATTTGATTTAATTAATACAACTAAACCACTGACAACATCGTAGCACCATATAGAGTCAAGTCTCCTCAGTTAACCCTTTAAATTAATAATAATATTTGATAATTAATACAACTAAACCACTGACAACATCGTAGCACCATATAAGTTTAGAAGGCATTTTATTTGCATTGTACCTAGAGGCCATGGTTGTGGGGTTTGTATTGCTATTGTGATTTTTGAGATGATCTTTCTTGACAAATATGGTAAAACAGCTTGAAGAAAGATCATTGTACATCGACTCTAGAAAGGAGAAAGTATTCAATGGTATT